CGATCAGACAGTGTATCGTAAATAGTGAATTGGAGATAGGTTTCTTATTAGCCTAAGTAATCTAAACAAAAGTCGTAGTTGTCGTAAAACCGAGAGGGTGCAAATAGAGAACGCTAAAATATGACTTCATAAGAGAAATTTATGATTTTTCTAATATTTTAGCATAACATTGTTGCGTAGAAATCGAATTTTAGATCAGTTGATCGTTAGTCGAAATGATCTAAACGAGAACTGAAGATCTTGTAATAAGGAATCTGTCGATATAAAGACAGTCGACAAGATTAATCTACTGGAACTTTATTAGGATGTTGAGTGATTAAGAGACGGTTTGCAATAAAGTTCATGATCATTAGGTCTATTCGTTGTAACGTATGTATCTGTATTGATTATGACATCCTTAGGGTTTTATTAAATTGATACAATAACATGTACTCAAAATGTTATAAATATATAGGGATTTTTCGCGACAATGACAAAATGAAATTGAAAACTTAAAGAAAAAGTTTTAATTGGTTCTGAAAATTAGAGGGTGTCACATAAGTTTCAGAATAAATTACCTAAGTGGAAGGAGAAATGTCTTTTTTGTGGTGGCCGCCTCACTCAAGTTAATTCGTTTCTTAATAACCTTCATTTGTACCTTTTATTCTGTCTTTAGAGCTCCTAAAAAAGTGATTAATGTTCTTGATGGTATTACTTAACGATTCTTATGGGGAGGTGATGGGGACAAGAAGAAGATCAATTATGTGTCTTGGGAGGTCGAAACTAAACCAAAGCATATGGGAGGCATCAGTGTTGGATGTCTTGATTCTACTAACTTGATATTTTTTATTGAATGGTGGGAGAGGTTAAAAAACATGTAAGATTTATTTTTTATATATAAAAGCAACTCATAATATTAAGCATATTAATGGACATGTAATTGCTAAAAAAAATCTATAAATGGTGTTTGTTCTAGCATCTCCCAGATTTGAGATGAGTTTGATGATAGGAGTATCTGATTTGCTAGTCTTTTTAAGAGGGTGATGAAAAAAAGAAGATAAAACATTCTTCTGGAAAAAACTATTAGTGTGGTGATATAGTTAAAAGAGGTTTGTCCTAACATGTACATTATTGAGAAAATGAAGAATTGTTTAGTGGAGAAAATGGGCGGGTTATGCATTACTATTGGTCTGGGACTGGGTGAGGCAGCCAAGAATGGGTTGGGAATTTGATCAATTCACGAGCATAATGAATCAAGCGGCTATTCTTCGGTTTGCTACTGGACGGGACAGGGGAAGTTAGGAAGGTGATGGTGGAGATGATTTTTCGGTATAAGATAATAGAGGCCTCTTGACAATATATCATGTATAAGGAACTTGGAGTTGTTCAATTGGATTAAATGGATCCTCCTAAAAATAAATTGTTTTGTGCGACGTTTACTTACAAATATAATTCCGACTTCCTTGAACCTTATTAAATGGGGGATTAGTGGGGCTTTCTTCTTTATGTCCCTGCTGTCGTGAGGTGGAAGAGGGTACTGATCACATTTTCTTCCCATGTCCATCTTTTTGTAGTGATCTAATGGAGATGGTTGATGACTCAATCTTCTCTTTATACGAGGTTTCCTTATTCTTGTGAAGACTTGATCGACATGTTCAAATTGATTGTTGAGAGTAAATTTATTAAGAAATTGTGACTGTCTTTGGTTTACACCATGCTTTGGATGATCTGGAAGAAGCGTAACACGATTGTTTTCAAGGACGATAGGCGGGCCACTATCTTTACTACATATGATACTGGTACAAATACTTTCAATTTGATTAAATGTAGGTCTAAATGTAATTTTATTGTTTGACATGTTCCGAACTCCTTCCTTATTTTAGACTATTTCTTGTAATTACTCGATCTTCTCAATTAAGTTATTTTGTTTTGTGATAATATATTGATCGCTATTAAAAAAATTCAGCGTAATGTTAGTTTTAAAGGTGACAGTAATAATTATTAAGATGGTCGATGACGGCCAATCGGCCATGCAACAAGAGGTGGCAGGAATAAGTATGAAAGCGATGGCGAGATGGTTGATTTTCTAATAGTAATAATATATTCAAATTTATAAAATTTGTGTTTGCAAAATTTATCAACTATTTAATTCACGTCCATAAAAATGGCATGTATTATATATACTAGTAGTGAGACTCATGTATTACATGGGTTAATTTAAAAAAAAAAGTTAAAGATAAATGTCAAAATATTTAAGAACTTTGAATTTGAAAGAAAATAAGAAAAATAATGAATTATTATAATGAAAATGTTTTTTATCTTTTAAATTTAAACAAATAATTTAAATAAATAAACAAAAGAATTTAATGAACTTTAATTTTGGGAATTTTGAAATAAAAAGGTTAGTTGATTAATAAAATTGATATCCATTTATTACTACATTTATTGCAATTATTAAATTAAAATATTATATGAATTTTAATAAAGAAGAAAACTCATAAAATGACATGTGGAAAAAAAATTAATTCAAAATAACCATAAAATAAAATTTGGCAAATTGAATGAGAGTGTGACAAGTAAAAAAAAAACATTTCATTTATTAGAGTAGATAAGCAAAAAAAATACACATAAAATCCATATCAATATTTAAAGTGTTCAAAATATTTTTTCTTATGACTCAAATTTAAAATATTTTAACTAGGAAATAATTTAAGAAATTAAAATAAAAATCTAAGACTAATGATTACAAAATGAGGAAATTTTGGTATCGAGAAACTATGCAAACCGAATTGGTGACATAAACATTCTTCTTAACCAAGGTTGTTAGATTAAATTTCATCCAGACAAAACTTCAAAAATGGTCCTTGTGGTTTCATAAAATCTGAAGTTTGGTCCCTAATTTACAAAAACCTTGCGATCGTCCCTGTGGTTTCAAAACTTTTAACAAATGTTCATTTTCGCTAACTCCGTTAGCTTTTGGCCGTTAAGTGAAGGACATTTCCGTCATTTCACAAAAAAGGGACCATTTATGAAGTTTTTTGTTATTTAAAAAACTAAAAATTATATATAATTATTTAATAAAGGGTCTCTCTCTCTCTCTCTCTCTCTCTCTCAAAAGAACCCATCTTAAACTGGATCTTCACTTCATCGATGAACTCATCTTCCGCCATATCAAATGAAGAATACTTATCCCATTTCATCATCAAAACCTTCGCCTCGAGTAAGCCCGAAACCCGACTCCACCACCTTCGTCATTTCTGCAGATCCAAAGAGGCTGAGATCGAGGAAGTCTGCAAGGTTCATTATCAGGACATCATAATGGATTTTGATGACCTCCGTTCTCTTCTTTCAGGCGTCGAATCACTTAAACCATCCATCTCCAATCCAAACTACCAGTTACAGTCTGTTGCCGACCCTCTCTTAACATCTCTCGATTCTTTCATAGAAGCAAGAGGGTTTCCACTTCCGCTTGCAATTCGCGATCGACTTCACCAGTGTCGTCGGGCAACCGTTTAATGGGGATTTTCTGGCCGTCTGCGAGGGTGGATTTGAAGACGATACCAAATCCTCCACATCTGATTATGTTTTCTTGATCGAAACTGATGGTTGATTTCAAAAGATCTTTGTTGTTTTCCTTCGATTTCTAGAAAAGAACGACTAGTCTCGATTCGTGTTCTTCTTTGTTGCTATCGGTTTCATCGTTTTTTTTCTTGATCGACTTCTTGTATGGTTGTTGCGCGAAAAACGATCAAGAACATGAGTAGAAGAATGAATAATGTTCCATTCCGATTCCGATTTCTATACCTACAATTGCACCTTTTGCTTTACCTGGATTTCTTATTTTGGGATTGTGGAAAGAGTTCGTTTGATTTTTTGTAAGTTTAATCGCATAACTTGTTTCCTTTGAAGCTTGAATTTGTAAACATTGTGAACTGACCTCCCTTTGAATTGCAACTGCCTGCTATATGTTTATTGTATTGATTTGGGGGTGGCTGTATGTGATTCGGTTAGAGGGATAAAAGGGGGATACATGCTTTAATTTCTTCTTCTGTTATGTATTTTCTTGATGTAATTAAGATGTCGATACTTTTCTTTCATATAAATGGGAGTGGGGTATTTCTTTCACATAACAGGGTCTTAATGGAAGGCCAAATATGGCTGTGATAGCGACGACTTTAGAGGTGGAGCTAGATCCTAATCCATCGATTGAACTAGAAAGAATGAATCATTAATGTGTGTAATGTGAAAGGGAGGGAGAGTGAATCATCAATATATGTGTATGTCTATGTCTATGTTGGTCCAATAGAGGTTGTAGAAGAGAGTGATATATGTTCTTCAGTTTGATATGTGTGTTTGTGAGAGAGAGAGAGAGAGAGAGAGTGTGTGTGTGTGTGTGACCCTTTATTAAATAATTATATTTTTTAAATAACAAAAAACTTCATAAATGGTCCCTCTTTTGTGAAATGACGGAAATGCCCTTCACTTAACGGCCAAAAGCTAACGGAGTTAGCGAAAAGGACCATTTGTTAAAAGTTTTGAAACCACAGGGACGATCCGTGAGGTTTTTATAAATTAGGGACCAAACTTCAGATTTTGTGAAACCACAGGGACCATTTTTGAAGTTTTGTCTTTCATCTATTGTGGGCAAATCTTGTTTTCATAAATACCAAAAACCAAAATATATGGAAGATTATAAACCACTCAAAAAAACATTATATATTTTGATTGCGATATTTGTTCTTTCAAGTTGCATCAATCCACGATAATATCTACTTATCTACAACAATAATTAAATTCTAATAGAAAGGGGATTTGTATTCATGTTTAGAACAAGCAAAGAATTCAATTGAGGAATGGCCCTCAATCTCTTTCCTGTCTTCTAATATATTTAATTTTTTAAATAATTTAAAAGACTGAGGGGAGAGAAAGAGAGGCACACTTCTTTTTAACATTTTTACAATGCTAGCTAATATACCATCTAACCCTAAAAAATTATTGTTGCGATTTTCATAGAATCGGTATTAAGACGAGTAAGCAAGGGAGCAATTCGATGAACCCTGAATCAACAACTGAGCTGGGGTTACCGAAGATGACGAATACAAGCTCGAAACACCTAAATCTTGTCGTGGCTTATTGGTCTCTTTATGGGTTATTGTTGGCTCATGTCTGATTTCCCGCAATAATGCAACCACATCTTTCATTGTTGGCCGGTCTTCAGGACGGTTGCTTGTACACAAGAGCGCTATTCCTAAGGCTTGTAACATTTCCTGTATTTGAGAGTCAGGATTTCCGTGTAGTTTTTTGTCTATAATGTTTACTGGATCTTTCTTGCTTTTGAGGTGATCACGAACCCATTGGATAACATGTTGACCTTCAGAAAACGACTCGTCAACCGGTTTTTTTCCGGTTATGATCTCTAACAACACCACACCATAGCTAAAAACATCACTCTTTTCAGTAATCTTCAACATGCTTGCATATTCTGCAAGCATTAACAATTATTTATATATTTAAGATTTATGTGGAGATCAAACTTGTTTCTCTAAAAAAAACTTTTATAGAAATAGAAACTCAAAAATATAGAAAACACTTATTGGATCTTATAACGTCAATATAACATTAATAATTCAGACACGAAAAAAATATATTAACGTGTTCATTTTAAACATTTTGGAATAAAATACATTTAGGCATTTGTTATTGACTTATTATATAAAAAATGGTTTAATATAAAAGGTTGGAAAAATGATAATTGTTAAAGTCGAACTAATTTTTTCAAATTTGCCATATTTTTTTTTTTATTTTCCCTCAATTTCCCAATTATTTTGTAAACGTTATATAAATTATAAAGTACTATGATTTAGTTATAGTAGACTGTCTAGTAGAGCCGTACCGAATTGAGCCGTTTGAGTTTCACAGCATACGAGGCATTGTCTTCTTCCACCAATCTTGCTAGCCCGAAGTCCGCCAGACAAGCGTCATTCCGATCACCCAGCAATATGTTCTCCACCTTGACATCGCGGTGGATGATAGGCGGCACACAGTCGTGGTGCAAGTATGCTAAGCCTTCCGCCACCCCCAAAGCTATCTTGAACCGCGTTTCCCACTCCACAACCTCAACGCCGCCTTCATGTAACAAGGTGCCTAGAGTTCCATTAGGCAAAAAGTCGTAAAGCAAAAGTTTGTTTTTCCCGTTCGCGGCCCAACCCAACAAACGGACAATATTACGGTGGCGGATTCGGGCAAGAGTAGCAATTTCTGAGGAGAACGCGGCGGCGGAGTAATTTTCCGATAACTGGAATCGTTTTACGGCGATGGGAAACCCCGACGGGATATTTGCACGATACACAACGCCGGTGCGACCTCGGCCCACCACATTGTCAGGTGTTAAGTATTTTGCCATGTCGGCGATTGATAAGTCAAGTTTTTGGTATAAAGTGATCTCCCATGGTGGACCCATTTCCACGTCAGCATCATCCATACCACGCTCTCGAGAACGAATTTTTCCGGCGAGTATGATGTAGAACGCAGATAGGAGGAGAACACATGCGATGCCTATCAGCACCACCATCGCCACCCTTGCACCCTTGCTGCGCCTGGAGGCGCCGTCTTTGTCGGCGCTGCACTCGTTGCCGGCGAAACACAATGAAGGGTTGTTGGATAAGACACTGAGTGGTAGTTTGGAGAAGAAGGGAGTGTCCGGCACGTGACCTTTGAAATCGTTGTGGGAGATATTAAGAGCCACGAGATTTTCAAGGTCGACGAGATTTTGTAGATCACCAGAAAACTGGTTGTAAGATAGATCTAGAACTCCTAGTTTATCTAAGGCGGAAAACTCAGCCGGTATGTTTCCGGAGAATTTGTTACAGCTGAGATTGAGAGCGATCTCCAACGCTGGAAGTTTGCCTAACGTTGGTGGAATCTCGCCGGAAAACTCGTTGCTGCTCAGATCAAGCAGTTGAAGGTTCATGCATGAACCTATTGCCGATGGAATTGGTCCGGACAATCGGTTCTTACTGAGCACAAGCTTGTTGAGTGAAGTCAGTGATCCGAGATTAGAACTCAACGTGCCGTCGATTTGATTTTCAGAGACGTCAACGAACTGGAGAGATACAATGTCGTTTATACTCGCTGGTAAGCTCCCGGAGATTGAATTGGAATGCAAGTCTAGAAACGTCAAGTTCTGGCAACCAGATATCGACGTTGGAATAACTCCGGTCAGCCTATTCGATCCGAGATCAATGAAATTCAAATTCTTCAACTTGCCAATCTCCGGCGGAATAGATCCAATCAGGTGATTATTGTTGGCACGAAACCGAATCAACGACGAGCAGTTCCCGATCTCCGGAGGTATTTGGCCGGACAAATCGTTTCCTAACAATAACAACTTGTTCAGATTCTGCAAATTGAACAAACCTTTCGGAATCGGACCAGTCAATGAATTCTGCGAGAAATCAATTGCTTCGAGATTCTGACAAGACGATATGGAACTAGGTATTGCACCTTCGAGATGATTCTGCCATAAGAACAACAGAGTAAGGTTTTCAAAGTTTCCGATTTCTGAAGGAATAGTGCCGGTAATCTGATTGTTGTCGAGTTCAATATGAGTGAGACTTCTGCAGTTCCCAAGCTGACTCGGTATCGAACCAGAGATCTGATTCACACTCAACTGAAGTTCCTGCAACGAAGTCAAGTTCCCAAATGTCACCGGAATGACTCCGGTCAACAAATTCATGGAAATGTCAATCAGAACTAGTTGCAGACAGTTTCCAAGCTCCGGTGGAATACTTCCAACCAAATTGTTTTGCCACAGCAACAGATTCTTGAGGTTCTTCAGATTGCCCAATGTGCTCGGGACTGAACCGGAAAGAGAATTCTCATACAAGTAAATGTTCTGGAGATCGGTGCAATCACCAAGCTCTGCCGGAATTTGGCCGGAAAGTAAGGTAGTGTAAATGGCAAGTGTCTGGAGCTTCTTCAGATTACCAATTCTCGAAGGTAGAAAACCTGATAAGCTCGTTTCTGCAACACCCAACATCACTAAACTAGTACAATTCCCAATTTCTTCGGGCAAAGGCCCTTCAATGTTCTTGTTTCCACCAGCTCTTATCACCTGGAGATTTTTCAGGTCTCCAATGGAACTCGGAATGCTTCCACCTAACTGATTATCATAACAAGTCAACACAACCAGGTTCTTAAGGTTCCTAATTTCAGCAGGAATTGAACCTTCAAGCCTGTTCGTGTTGATGTAAAGCTCCACAAGCTTCTCAAGATTACAAAGCTCTTTCGGAATTTCACCAGTCAACCCATTGTCGCTCAAATCCAAGTAACTCAGATCCTGTAAACGACCCAATTGCTTTCGGAATCGAACCAGTGAGATTCGTTCCCGATAACACAAGCCTCTTCAAAGTCAACAACGAGTTGAAATCAGAAGGTATCGTTCCAAGTAAGTCCACATAAGTCAAACTCAATTCAACGATATTCTTGTTAGTATCACAAGTGATACCAAACCACCCACAAGGGGTTTCATTGGTGGAGTCCCAGTTATTTAAGGCCTGCAAATTGGGGCCTTTTAAGGTATTCCTCCATGAAAGAAGAGATTGACCTTGAGAGTTGAGTGAGAAACAAGAAGGTACCAAAATCAAGAAGAGTAGAAGTAAAAGAGGTTGAAAGACAGGCATTACAAAAATGCTAAATTTAGTTACAGATTCCGATGAAAGGCAGAGGAAGGAAGGAAGGGGATGAGCCTAGGGAGGAACAATTTGAGAAAAACCAAATCATTTGTCTTTGTGGTCTGTGGAGTTGTGTTGTGGGTTAAGTGGGGTGGGGTGGGTTTTTTTAGTGTTATAAAAATGTCTAAAAGGAAGGTTATAGTGAAAGAAGACCCAGAATCAGCGGATCCAAAGGACAGCTAGGCCATCTTGTTTGAACATTGAACATTAAAAAATAAATTAGGAATTTATATTTATATATGGGTGCTTTTGTTATATGCTACTATTTCTTTTGTTTATTATATGTAATATATCGGCATTTAAATCTTTTACTAAAAAAGCTAATTGTAAGAAATATCAATATATTTTTGTTTTGTTACCATAGTAATTGAATTTCATTTTTCTAAATCATACTTTCTGTCTATTTCAAAATATCTACTTGGTGTGTTAGGATATTTAAAACATAATACTATTATTTAAAACTCTTTATTAGGTTATACATTACAAAATAAAGTTCAAAAAATGTTTGGATTATGAATTTACGATACGTTTGTATCAAAATATAATAATTTGATAAATTTGCTTTTTTTATTATTTAATTTTTTTTTTGGTTTTATACATTATAAATGACCAAAAAAGGACATGAATAAAAGGATATTTGTTCCGATCCATATGGTTTTTTAGGGTTAAATCCAGAAAATATGATAAATTGGCTCTCATCTACAATGGATACATTTAGATTTTTTTATAGAACGACAAATCTACACTACTCCTAATACCACTTATGTCTCCAATGAGACTTGAACCATCAACCTCTAAGAGGGAGTGCAACACCCGGTACCGCTGGGCTACAAGCCCTTTGATGGATACATTTAGATAAGTTTTATGAAAATAATTTAGGATTATTTGATAAACCGAACAATTTAGTTTTAAATGATTTAAACATCTTAATGATTAAGAAATAAAAGGTTTTTAACCGTCCAGATGCTTTTCGATATATTTAAATGTTGTATCAAACGTGCTGAATGTTGACCGATTCAGATATGACCTCTAAATGGTTCATGTAGATGTTAACCAAAAAAAAATCTTTATTTAAATCAGTAAGCATTTTTTAGTTCATCCAAATATTTTAAAAATAAGCTAATTAGCGTTTTGTTAGTTCATCCAAATATTTAAAATAATAATAATAATAATAATAATAATAATAATAATAAACAATCCTAAACTAATTCTTAATATTAGTATTACAATTATGGCATCACATTTTTTAGTTAATTCGATTATAACAATAGTATAATTTTTATTTGGATGATATTATCATTAATAGAATAAACTTTTGAATATATATATATATATATATATATATATATATATAATGAAAAATGATAAAAACTTAACCAGGTTTGTATTTCTTGTATTTAATGAACAAATCAGAGTAGTGGATAGATAGAAGAGGAAGTACAAATTGAGAATCATAAAAGTATGGGGATAAGGTCATGCATGCATTTAGGAATTGTACGGTACAAACAGGAAATAGGGTCCACATTAGTATAAAAATAGGGAAGCAGAGATCTGAGTCGAGTAAACAATGAAACTGCCAATGAGTTTTATAGTATTAGTACATGACTTTTATCACCACCACATGTGAGGCCTTTTTATGTATTCATACCCTTTAAACACGTACTACCTTCTCTTAACTTTATTCGAAAATAGATACATCCTTTGTCCTTCAAACTTGATTCTTGGAGCCAAAAATTATGCTCCATACTTGGTCAATCATG